CAAAAACAAGAATAACTATGGCACAATGTATAACAATAATAGTTTTGTTTTTGCTTTTGTTTTTATTTTTCAGTGCCAGTGCTCAAACCCAGGGTCTCAAGAACACTAGGCTAATGCTCAGCTGCACTCCTAACCTGTCTAATACATATTCTGGAGGTCAATTATGTCTCCGTGCCAAAATCAGGGGTTTGTTTTATCTCAGTTGATTCTACAACCTGCTCTTTTCCAGGTGAGAGGGTGGGCTGGGTCCACAGGATGAACCCCTGAATAGCCAGTTCTGCGCTTCCCTGGAGGTGGTTGGATGAGCTCTTAAGCCACATACACAGGGAGATTGTCTGTCCCTACCAGCAGTGCTGGGCACGAGAGGGCTGGGCTGGCCCCTTGGGGATGCCTTTGGGGAGCCAAGCCAGGCCCAATGAGCTGAGCTGGGCCCCACTTGGTCCAACTCCTCTAGGCGTTGGGGCTTGAAATAGCAGCCGCTCAAGAGCTGACAATCAAAGGGCAGCTAAAAAAAGGTCCCTCAGTCTGGGCTCTGTCGCACACGGCTCGTAGGACCTATTTTGGGGAGAGGGTGCCGACGTGCCAATGGAAAATCCATGGGGTGGGAGTCACCAAGGTGGGGACCCCGAATGGTTGCATGCACATACATGTGCACACACACACACGCACAAGTTGTAGCCCTTGGCCCACCTTCCTGGCCATTGGACCCTTTCATCCTTACCACAGCCAGGGACAGGGCCAAGGAAACTGAAGCTCAGAAAAGGGAAGTGAATGGACTGAGGTCACTCATCTAGGAATGGGCAGCACCATGGCCAGACTGGGCTTCTGTGGCTCCCAGTCCAGAGCCCCTCCCAGGAGGCAACCTTCACTGAGGAAGCCAACAGACACATTGTGCTTGGAGAGTCAAAGGCTAAGAGATGGGAAAAAAGGTGATGTTCTGGGTTGGAGTGAGTAAGAGCCGAGGAAGACATGTGAGAAGAAATCCCACTAGAACCCCACCACCACCACATTCCACGAGACCTGGCATGGCTGTAGGAGAGGCAACTAGAGCAGGGCCTCATAGGCAGTGAGCCCAGCCCCCAGCCTACTCGATGACCACTCATGCCTGCCCTGCCTGGGCCCACAGATGCTGGCAGCCCTTGCCAAATTTCCAGGGAATGTGTCAGATAAGGGGCCAGTGCTCATGACTTTCTCCCATCCTGCCACTATCTCCGACCCTACTGCCATGGCCAAGTGGGTAAGAATAGCAACAGCCATGATGAGTGGGCACACACAGAGCTGTCACAACTTGGGACAACACAACAATGCCCTTAAGAAGGCAGATGTGGCTCTCAGATGGAGGATGACTGTTAGGGTCCTCCTCCCTGTCAGTGCCAGCCCTGCCTGGCTCTCTGTCCTCCTGAGCCCCAAGTCCCAGAACATGGAATGGTAAATAGCAAACCTCAGTGCTGCACCTGGTGTCTCCTGGGGGTGATCTGGGGAGATCACACCATCTTGTGGACCTTCACCCAGGCCTCAGTCCTGTCTTCCATGGAGTGGTTATGGGACCTGGAGCTAACACTGTCCCCTCTAAGCTCATAAGCTGGACACGACTCCACAACAGCTCCCTTGGAGCAAGGGAGACAGCCAGCTGAAGCCTCTCCCAGGACTAGGACCCCTCACTGTCCTGACAACCCCAGGCTGGTCTGGCTGCTGAATGCCCCTGAGGACATTGACTGTGGTCAGTGGGGATATGGTGGAGTGGTCCCCATGTTCTATGTGTAAGAAGCCCAGGTATATGATCACAGGGCAGAGGGGGGCATGTTGTGACAATTCCCCTGTGCAATTCTGAGATACTCCTGCAAGAATGTGAGGGTAGCCAGGTCATTCCGAGGGAAGAGGCTGTTGTCATGGAACCCATAGTGAGCATCACTGTGACACCAGAAGCGGGGAAATCTAAGGGAGCTTTGTGTGATGTTCCTGAGTCACTATGACACCTGGAAGTAATTATGAGAACCAAGTTCCCAGTCCCTACGTCAGTGGGCCCTGCTCTTATGGGCTGACTCACCATGGAGAGGGAGAGTCAGCCCCACCTCCCTCCCACCCTGCTCCCCTCCTGCCCCCTTGCTGCTTCATCTCCCTCCTCTTCTCATGCAACTCTTCCCCTTGACCTTTCAGCTGGCCTCTTGTCCCCCATGTCACCCACCTACCCCAGGACCCCAAGGAGGAGATCAGGGATGCTAGGGAAGGAAAGGAAAACTGGGCTGAGGCAAACTCCTTGCACATTCACACACATCCTGATATGCTGTGACACTGAACTTGCTTAGACACCCACAGGCACACACGAGCACGTGCACATGGCTAATAGAGTGACAGAGCTGCCAAGGGGTCTCCCAACACTTGTCCTGTCAGGTGGGCCCCACCAACCCTGCATCCTCCGGATCCTTCCTTACCTCTGAGTGCCCCTCAGTAGAAATACATCATCCTACACCAGAGGAAGAACTTCTGCCCTGAGGCTCCATCTGGAGACCTGGGGTGGATACAGGTGGGTGGGAGTGGGGGTACTCTGCTGTCCCAAGACTATTTTATTGAGGGCTAGCCTGACCTCTGGGCCTCTTGCTTCAAGAGCTCTACTGTTGGGGCTGGAAAAAGTTTAAAAATATCCTCATGTTTACATTCTTTCCAAACCCGCCTCCCAGTCCTCAGTGCTGGGTCCCTTTGATCTGGCTCTGTGCCTCTGGAAGGGGCCTGGGAGAGGGGGAGGATGAGTCCCCCACTGGGCCTACCCTGTCACCCCCACTCCCAGCTCCAGCCCAGTTGTAGTCCTGTGAGATCTGGGACATCACAGTACCAGAAAGCCTAGGATCTGGAAAGGAGCCCATGCCGAGAGTATGTGTTATCCTGAGGTACCCAGCAAGGCCAGGTGGGGGCTGAAAATGGGGTCCTTCTCCATACGCCCTCTCAACAGCCTGGGGCTCATGGGACTTCTGTGGAGCATACCTTTGTGTGTCTGCAGGCATTCAGGATACACCCTCCAAAAGTTTATGGACAAGAGAAAGACACATAAATTGAACTCCTGTGGTATGCCTGGCACTTTGCTTAATGTGTTTTGCAAGGATCATTTCATGTCATTCTCCCAACAACTCCATGAAGTGAGGCCTATTTTATCAACGAGTAAGCCAAGTCTCAGAAAGGTGAAAGGATTTACTTGGGAACACACAGCAACGAGGAGGTAGGGCACAGATCATATGTTCTACTACACATACTGTGCCCCCCACCCCTTGCTCTGTTAAATCTAGCCCCTGCCTGCAGTGTGAGCCTGTCTCACTAATGGGAATCTCCACAAACAATCCCTGAGCCAGTGCCAATATGTTTCTCTTCCCATGGACAAACCTTGTCCGCCTGACTCTCACCCTCCTCTTTAGAATGGAGCTAAGGATCATAGGAAAGGTTTATGTCCAAAGTTGCTTAAGAAAACTGAGCCCTTGACCTGTGATCATCTTGCTCTAGCAGTGATACAACCATGGAGTGTCATGGGGTCTGAAGGCTCAAGAATGAAGCCCTCAAACTGGGGCAGATGCCTTAATTTGCCCTGGTAACCTGCTGTTCACTCTTCCCTTAATTGATTCCCCATCTACTCACCAACTCACCTGCCAGCTACCCTCCACTCATCTACCTACCCATCCATCATACCTCACCCACCTAGCCACTCACCCATTCATCTATTCATCCATCCAGAACAAAGACCAGGAGAACAGGAGTTTCTAGCTCAGGCAGGCATCACATCTCACTGGCTATGCAAATCTGGCAGGGTCTTTCCATCTCTTTGTGATCCATTGTCCTAAATTTACCAGAAGTAGCTGGCCAGGGTGATCCCCAAGGCCCTTCTGGGAGATCTTGTGGGAGAGCAATTAATGGCCGTGAGCTCTATTTTAGAGAGGTAATATGGACCTACAGTCTATGCCTGCCTCCATATAGCTCTGCCTTGTGTTCTAGCTCCAAGACACTTCAAGAGCCTTTTACCTCTTGATCTTCAAGTTCTTTCACTGGAAAATTGAGCTAATATTCTACCCTAGTAGGTTGGAGAAATTAGATAAGATGCAACCTCTAAGAGCTTTCTGCTCTGAAGACTTCCAAGTGGGTGCATAACAGGCAGAGGATCCTGGCAAAGGGCAGAGAAACCCTGATTGGACTGGGGTGGTCAGCAGAGCCTGTAGTTGGGGGTGGTCCTCGAGCCCAGGGTTGCTGGGGCTGGCTTCAGGGTTCATCCACAAGCTCCCCCAGGCCAGCGAGTGTGTCCGCCCTGGTTTACTTAGCTAGGCTTGGCCCTCATCCCATAGAATCTGCCAGCAGTAGAGATTATCTCCTAAAAATAGGGATGGGCCCTGCCAGGGTTGTTTTTCTCCCTTCCCCGTGATTTAGCATTATCAGCTCTGGGTGATTGGGACAGCAAGTCCCACCCTGATTCCCCAGAGACGATCAGGAAGGGGGCATGCAGGACCAGTTTGTGTCTGGGGTCAATCATAGGGCAGAGACTGGAGGTCAAACTGGAAGTATGGTTGAGGTTCAGCAGTCTACCAGGGATATGGCTTAATTTTGGTTCAGAAGCAGGGTTCCACCTGGGGCAGGGACAGCTTCAGGGGGAGGCACAGGGGTTCCTGTTCCACCCAAATAGTGTCCATCTGAGTGACTTCCTTCTCATGACTTTCTGAAGATGCTTCAAGTGAAACCCAGAAGGGCCTTGAGTATTGCTGGGGCAGAAGGATCCATTCTCCGGCTTCATTTTCCTGACCTTGCCTTGTAGGACCCTCAAGATTCCTATGCAGGTTCCTCCGGAGACTGACAGGTCTCTGTCCACTTCTGGGTACAGGTGACTTCTGCACAGTGACACAAGCGTTCTCACACACAAGGAGAGGACATGCATTTACAATATTGTACCTTGCCATAGCAAAGATAATGTTCTGGAAATACAGAAATGACTCAAAGACACTGTTCCTTGACCCTCACCTCATCCAGGATCTGTGGCTGGTGGGCACTGGACACCCAAGGAAATGACCCACTTTGCTTTGGCCCCAAGATCTCACTGGCACCCCATATGATGTTCTGTATTTTCTCTTACAGGGAACCCATCGTTTCCTCAAGTACCCAGACCCATTCTGTGGAGCAGGAGATAGGGAGGGCGCAAAGGACATGTGTGTGCATTCACACACATGCATGTGCACATGAACATGAACACTCAGATATGGGCACAGCAATGGTTTAGGGCCAGGCCCAGATCTCTAAGGCTTTATTATTGGACAATAAGCTGCCATTTATAGTACTCTCATGGGCAGTTCAGAATGTCATTTTCCCTCTGGGGACTTGTCTGGTGATAGTGCCTCCACCCCAGGAAGGTGGAGAGGTTTATACTGTCCTGCTCCCACTGGATCTTGGGTACTGGATCTTTCCTAGTGGAAAGTTCAGTTGGAGCCAGGTTCAACCTCCCAGCTGGGGCTGTCTGGATCACTCAGATGGCCACCTTCAGGGGCATACTGTCTGCTGGCTGATCCAGGTCCTTCTTCCTTGCCAGGGCCAAGTGCGTGAAGATGAGAATGAGGAAGAAGCCTGAGGGGCCCAAGAAGAATGGATCAGCCCTCAGATGTGGCTGTAGGGCTTACCTATGCCTAGGAATTCTCTGCTATTAATATTGATTTTAAAAAGAGATGAAATTTCCTAACAGCATCCCTGGGCTGGGCTGGGTATGAATCCTGATGCCTGGAAAAGTTCAACTGCTTAGCTTTTTCAGCCCTCACTACAATGAGACAGTCCCAGCACATCTCAGCCTCCAAAGTCCCCTTCTCTAGGGGATAGTTTGAGTGGAGTTCATCTGAGAGCCTGTGACTTGTTCCCATGGACCTCCAAAACAAAGGCACAGCATAGCTAGAACCAGCAAAGAAAACCACCATGGAAAGAATTTAGGGGACTAAAGAAATAAAAGGGTAGAGAGAGTAGAGAGGGTAGCTTGGATGGAAGGAATTAGGTTGGAAAGACCTGGACTCTGCTACATCTTGGTGGTATAACCTCAGAGTCATTAAAGTTATTAAATCTCTCTGGGCCACAGTGAGCTCATCTGAAAAATAAAGAGATGTCAAGTTCCACCTCACAGGTTATGGAGGGCATTCCACATGATAATTCACGTAATGTGCCTGGCATAGGGCCTGATGCACAGCCAGTGCATGAGGATGTAATGGTAAATGCTGGTCTTGATGATGATGATGACTGAGATACCAGGCGACAAGAGCATTATGACTATGAGTTAGGTTTTTTGGTTGTTTGCTTGTTTTTTAATCTCCAGACCTGGGGCACTAAGGGCACAGGGGAATTTTTTATTTGGAGTCTATGGCTCTAACCCACCCACTGCCCTCCCCAAGACAGAATCCCAACCTCCATTACCTATTGCTGCCAGGGTGCCCAGGAGGGTGCCCATGGCCACCAGCTTCGTGGGCATTCCCTTCATGCGGCCCACCTTGCGCATGCACTGCCCCTCCACATTGCAGCGACACACAATCACTGGGGGAGAGGAAGGTAACAGGAGTGGCGGAGGGCTCCCCTGCTGCTTGGAACCCCAAGTGGCTGATGTGCAGTTTTGTGCACACACATGTGCGTGTGTGCGTGAAGGTGAGTTGCTCCTTTGTGCAGGTGTTGGCCACTCAAAAGTATGTGGGCCTGGCCACAGTTGTGCAGGTGTGCACGGGCATATACTGTCAGTGTGAGCATCCGTGATGTATAGCTAGCCCCTGTCTTCTGCACCCTGATAGCTCCTTCAGTATCTGCAGATGCCAACCTTGGCTCCATCTGAACTCAAGCCTTACCTTGGACCAGGAGCTGCCATGTATGAGCATTGTGGCTGACGACCACAGGGACTTCATGTTCACCTGGTTCTACCCAATGCAGGGCCAGGGTGAGGTAAGCATGGGAACCTGTTGGGTTGTAGGCAATGAGCATGGTCACTAGCCTAGACTGGCACCCTGGGGGCTGTTTCTTCTAGGCCCAGCCCCACCTCATTTCACTCCCCAGAGATCCCCTCTCCTCTGCCTTGGCCACAGCCTTTCATACCACTACATACCATTGAGAGGCTGGAGGCGCCAATCCCGTCGCACTGTAGGGTTGGGGCCAAGGGCAAAGCTATAGGGACCAGGCACACTGGCTAGGTCGGGATCCTCACTGAGTCCATTGACAACCACACCATAGTCCTGGCGGGGCGTGCAGAGGTATCGGGCAGGCATGGGTACCAAAGTCAGAACTGGGGCAGGAGGGGGCTTCAGGAAGTGGACCACCAGAGCAGCAGAGGTGCTCAGTCTTGGCTCATCTGTGATGTTGGAGATGAAGGTGAGCTGGGGAGTTCCTGGGGTGGTCCACCCCCACAGCCTATCAGTCTCACCTGCTGCTTCCCTGCCACTGTCCCCCGACTTCACCCCCTCTTTCATCCTGTCACTATCACTATGCCAGTCTCTTTCTGACAGTGGGTTTCATCCCTTTTCTGAAAGTGGGCTTCATCCCTTCACTGTTTGAACAGCTGCCAAGCCCACCTGTGCCTTTTCAGATGCCCAACCTGCATTCACCACCATCCCCACTACTGACACCGATGCCCTACAAGGTGGCAGTGCCCTGACTATGGAGGAGCACATCCCTGCTGGTCTTCCCTGGACCTCCCAACATACCCTGCCTGGGACGAGCTGTTAACAGCTATGAGAGAGCTGTTCGCAATCCTCCTTAGTGGATTGTGGCACCATTTGGGCCATCTCCCTGCACTTGTCCTAGATGCAGCCCTTGGCCTTCCTTCTACTTCCCCAACCCAGTTCCCTCTGTCCCCAGCCTGTCTCTGAAGCCAACACCTCAGCACCAGGAGCTAACAGACAGGGTTGGGGGATTTCAAGGGTCAAGGTAGCAGGGTAGAGAATGGGAGAGGCAGAGGCCAGACCTGCCCAAGTGGGTAGACCCATTCTTGGAGAGGGACACTGGGCCAGGATCCTTGTCCCTCTCTCTTTCCTGAGGTTGGATGGTTGCCTGAAAGGGTCCCAGGGAGGAAGCTCAGTCTTGGCCACCATTCACTTCATCTGAGGCCTGCAGGTGGAACTACTCCCATATGTAGTTCTAGTGCTTCCCTCCCTCTGGTCCTCATTGTTGCCTGGCCATACCTGCATCCTGGGCTTCCACAAGCACTGTGTATGTGACCCCAGGCTGGGCACCCTGCAGGGATTGAGCTGTGTGTACTTCCCCAGAGACCTCCTTGATGCAGAACCAGCCTTCTGAATCATTGACCAAGGAGAACCTGAGATCCACAGAAAGGAGTAGAGTGGAAAGGCACTGAAAATACATATGGGGTCTTGCCCAGAAACCTCCAAGATCATGTGATCTGCTCAAGTTCCACATCCTGTCTGTGACTCTGGGACAGCAGCAATGCTGCCCAGTCTTCTCTCCCCAGCTTTAGTACTTATTGGGCAATGTATACTGTGGGTGGGGCTCTCTAGATCATGGGCTGGTGTCTGGATGGGGACAGAGCCTGGGAAGATCCTTGTCTGCGCTGCAATCTGGCTGGGGCAAGTGTTCCCTCCAGGTGAGGAGGTATAATCTGAATTTCCATAGAGCCTAAATGCCACCCTCTACCATGCCTACCCAGTCTGTCCAGCCCCGATCCTACCCTCAAACCTCAGGATTCACAATCTTGGCACTAGCCATAGTTAGGGTCTATTCTAGATAACGTGAATCTCCTTGGAGGCCCTGGAGTCACTCCTGGGGAGCAGGGGAGAGCCAGCCCAAGTAAGGGCTCACCTGAGGGTTCTGTTCATGGGATCTGAGGGCTGGATGGTCAGCAGGAGGGAGCCGGCTGGTGTGCTGATTGGGACACTGGCTTCATAGCGTTCCTGGTCCAACTTAGGGGGTGGCATCACCCTCTCCACCAGCACAGTCACTGTGGCTGTGGCTTCAGGGCCTGGGCCCGGGCCCACCAGTTCCTCCACATTTCGCACTACCACCACCACCTTGTGGTAGGGAACTGCCTCATAGCTGAGGTTCTGGAACCAACAAAGCCTGGGTCACTGTGTGGGTCAGGGCATGGCACATTTGTGCTTTGAATGTGTGTGTGTGTGTGTGTGTGTGTGTGTGTGTGTGTGTGTGTGTTTGCCCCTTTCCTACTCATTCACCCTTACCTTGCAGACTTTGAGTTGGACGTGACCAGAGTCTGGCTCCCAATCCAGGCCAAAGATCCCTTCCTTATCCCCTGCTTCAATGGCAAACTCCATGAGGCGAAAGGCAGGTTCCAGGTCAGCATCAGTGGCCATGAGTGTGGCCACCAGAGTACCAGGCTCTACATCCTCGGGGAGGCTTACAGGATCAATCTGGAGAGATATTGAGGGGGCAGTGAGCCCCGCCAGTGCTCTTCCCAGGTTCCCTCCCTCCCCTTCTTTTGCTTACTTGGGAGGTGGTGAATTCAGGGGCATGGTCATTGATGTCTGTGATCATGATTGCGACCTCACACATGCTGCTGAGGCCTGAAGCACAGGAGGGCTTGCTGGTGAGGGCAGGTAAGAACAGGGGAATAGGGGCCCAGGTCACCATTAGAGGACTTACCTTCCTCTGCTCCTGCTAGGTCAATAGCCAGCACCTGAAGGAGGATGTCCTGGCCAGCTTGGAGGGGGACAGTGCCCAGAGTCACACTGCCTGAGGCGGGGTTCAGGTCAAAGGCTCTCCCTGTAGCCCCCTCCTCAGGCTCAGGGCTCAGAAGCTGATACACAATGCGAGAATTGGGAGATCCAGGGGCATCTGCATCCTCTGCCAACAACTGAGTCACTACAGTGCCTGCAGGACAGCAGATGGGTCCGCAGTCTTACCTCCCACCCACCCATTCCTCTTTTGTGAACTTCTCACGGACATGCACAAGCACGCCCTGTGTGTGTGTGTGTGCGTGTGTGTGTGCATGTGTGTCTGTGTGTGTGTGTGTGTGTGTGGTGTGTGTTGAAAGACGTTGAGATGGTGGCCTGAAGCTAGAGGCCCATCCCAGAAAAGATGGGATGGTTCATAGGGACTCCACCCTCCCTGCACCCCTATTAAGGCCCATAGCCTACCTGGGGGGCTGAGCTCAGGGATGCTGATTGAGGGACCATGTGGTGGGCAGACAGGTGCATTGTCATTCTCATCCATCACCACCACATGAAACTCCAGGGCTTCTGCGTAGTCCTCACCATGGGAATTCTGAGCCCACACCTGGAGTAGGTACTGAGGGGGGAGGGGGGAGGGTTCAAATCAGGAACAAGGGCAGCTTCAGCCTGCCTGGGTCTAGGTCCCTTGCGCTAACTAGCTCCAGATTTTTTTGTTTGTTGTTTGTTCTTATAGCTCCCACTCTTCTGGGCTCTCTCCCACTGCCTTAATATCTGTGGGAGATGTGACATCTCCCAAAGCCAATCAAACAGTGATACCCTCCAGCTTGCCCCCATGGTTTCCCTCTCACCTCACCTCAGCCTGGGCCTCTCGGTCCAGCTCCAGGGTCACATAGAGTTTCCCATCTGCATCCACATCAAAGGGCCCAGGAGGCTGGCTCTCCAGGTGATAGTGCACGTTCCCCCCACTCCAATGTACCTGGGAAGAGAATACAGTAAGGAACCCCAGGCCAAGGGTCAGGAACAGTCTTATGCCAGCCCTTGAGTCCTAAATTATCCCCAGGCAAGGAGTCTGGGCCCCAACTACCATGTGATCCCAGGAAAACTGCTGCCCTCCCTGGGCCTGGAGTCCAAGTAGGGTTCTTCTGTTTATGGCACATGTCATTGTGGTAACTTCATAGTAGCCTTTCCTTGGCCTAAGCCTCATCCCAAAGTGCCTGAATGACCATGTTATTTTATTTTCTGTCCTCTCGGGCCAGGCCTGACACCAGGGAATTCCGAGATAACGCCTGAGACATTCCTGCCTTGGGTGACAATCCCCATGGCAGCAAGTGGAGGCAGCTGTTCTCCCTGAGGAAGCATTGGGCAAACTCAAGAGGTCAGAACACAGAGCCACACCTGTCAGAAGATGAAAGTCAAGGGACTCAGGGCATGGTCCCAGGGCCTTACATACCTCACTCCACAGTAGGAAATAATGGGAAGTATAAAGAGTGGAGTCAGGGTCAAGCTGGGTCCCAGATCCACCTCCCAAATACTCATGAGACTCAGGTCCAGCTGAGCCATCCATGGGATTGTATCAGTCACTGATAACCATTTACTCACCTGAGCAATGAGGTGTGGGTATGGGACTTTGAGATTCTCTGCCAGGTGGATAGACTCTAGGGGGACCCAGGTACTCTGTACGATGGAGACCTCTATGGTGGCTGTGGCCTGGTGGCCTGTGGCCTGGTCACCCATGTCCTTGACCTGTACCAATAGTTGATAGGGCCCCTCGAGGGCGTGGTCTAGGTTGGTGCTCCCTAGAAGAGATAGGATGGTTGGTTGAGCATTGGGCCAGGGGACAAGTACCAGGCTCTCCTTCTCAGTGGGTAACAAACACAAAACCAAACATACAGAAGGTATTCAGGAGGCTCTGTTGGCCAAAGGATTAGAGGAGCTTTTAGCACCATCGTGAGTATTCAACTATGATGTGACAATGTGCAATGTCACTTCCAAATTAACAGTGAATGGTTGTTGGATTGGAGCAGTAGATGAACAGCCAGGATGGGAAGGTTGGCAGATGGGAGATAATTCAGTGAATGAACGGGCGATTGACTAGGCGGATAGATACGGATTTGGGTGTGTGGATGAATGAATAGAGTGTGGATGTGTGAGTATGTTGAGCAGGTGGGCTGCCTGGTAGGTGGAGGTAGATGGGTGACAGGATGGGTTGATGAATGATTCACTGTGCCTTCCATCCCCAGCCCGTGCCTCTGGTCCACACTCATAGAGGCGGGTCTCTTCTTCCATCAGTCCTGTAATCTCCAGACTAGATCCTCATGTCATTCCTCTCTGGTCTCCACCCCATCTCCTACCTCCCTGTGCATGGTCCAGGCATGGCCTTTGCTTTGCTGCTCTCTCCTTCTCCTTCATCTCCAGCCTCAACTCATCCACCTCTTACAGCTCAGGGACCCCCTCCTCCAGCATTCCCTGAACCTCCCTCACATCTAGCCCAGGCTCACCCTCGGAGCTGAGGGCCAGAGCTCCCAGCTGAGGCTCCAGCTGGAACATGGCTGATGAAGGCTGGGCTGGGGTCTGGCTCAGGATGTGGAATCGAAGATCTGAGTTGGCTGTGCCTGGAGCATCTCCATCTGAAGCCTCAAGGAAGAAGAAGGGGATACCTGGATTGCGGAGAGAAAGGTAAACTGTAAGGGATAGCAGGGGTGCCTCCCCTATTTCCCCCTGGTTCTCCCTCCCATAACTATCACTGTATCAAGATCCTGGAGGTGAGGCACAGACTTTTCAGCACTTCACATATAGACAAACAGAGGCTAAGAGTAAGTGGGTCCCTCAGTGAAAATGGGGAGGGTAAAAGATGGGACAGAAATGAGGAAGCAGTTTAGACCCTGGCTTCCTTGTCGTTGTGTCTCTATTCTGCTGTCCCATCAGTTCCCACCTGTCTTTGCTGCAAGGTGGCTGCTCTGGTCACTCACCAGGCCTGGTGCCCTGGCTGAGCTGAGCTCTGTAAATGGTCTGGGAAAACTGGGGCACCTGATCATTCTCATCCTTCACATGCACAATCACAGTCTGTGGACCCCACAAGACATATCCATCTCCGGTCTGCAGGGTAACCTGGCAAGGAAGGGGAGTCAGAGCTTGGCCACGCCTTTCCTGCTATGCTATACCTCACCCAGCCATACCTGTAGCTTGTACTCTGCCTGTTCTTCCTGGTCCAAGGCCCTGGTAACCACCAGGAAGCCAGAGTCTGGATCCACAGCAAAGGGACCCTCAGCTGCCATGCCTGAGTCCCCTGACAACACTATTATGCCTTCAGTCTTCTCATGGGGCAGTGGCAACTAGAGGATGAAAACAAAGGTAAAGGGGGTGGGGGCAGGCCTAGAAGATGTCCCTTCCATGCACTGGCCTCATTTTATGTGTGGGAGAATTGAGTCTCAGAGAAGGCTGGCACTTATGTGAGGTCAGACAGCCAGTAAGTAACAGGACTGAGATTCAAAGTCAGAACACTTTGCCTTGTACCTGATGCTCTCCCTCCTCCCTGCTCCTCTTTCTAAAGTTGGAACTCCCCACCAACATTTCATTCTTTAGCTGAGACCTCTACTCTTCTCTGGAACTAAAATCTTGCCGCTGAGTCACATTGTAATGTATATGCTCATGAAGGCAGGGCTCAAAAGGCAACTGGAGTGGTAGGCTGAGGCAGGAGGATCATTGTGAATTCAAGGACAGCCTGGGCTACAAAGTGAATTTAAGGCCAGCCTGAATTACGTAGCAAGAACCTGTCTAAAAAAATTAAATTAAAAAATAAAGGAGTGGTGACAGAGGTGGAGGAAGCAGGACTTTGTGGGGAAGGCTCACCTTGGTCAGGTACAAAGGGAAATTTCCACCATAGTTCTCAGGGACTTCTACAGACAGTTCTGCAGTCTGGGCCTCAGGGAAAACCTGTGGGGAATTCTCGCCTTGTCCTACCTGGCCATATTCAGGCCATCTACCTTCTGTCTTTTGACCTCCTGAGCCCACAGTGGGCCCATAGCCCCAGTCCTGAACTCCCTACCCCCACACTCCTCCCATGGCCATGGTAGTTGGCCCAGGCAGAGTTAGAAGTAGGTGCACCAATCCCCAAGGCCAGGACCTGAAGGAGGGGCCCACTCACCTGGGGGATAAAGAAGCAAAGCAGCCAAAGCCAGGCAGGAACCATGGTCAGGATGGGCCTAAGAGACATGGCCATGAGGATCCAGCCCAGATGGGTGGAAAGGGGATTTCCATCCTATTCACAGCCGAAGGAATCTTGCTGCTGGCAAGCCTCACTTTCTCCCCTAAGGCCCTATATCTCCCTGTTACCTGCAGAGAAGTGTCCAGCTCCTCAGCCAGAACCAGTGAGGACCCCGGGCCCAGCCACCCAGCCACTTGGCTCTTGCTCCTACAATGATCTCCTTGGGAGTTTCACTTCCACACCTTTGTCTCCTTCCCACCAGAGCTTCCCCACCGTATAGATATTAAAGTTGAAATTTTCCAGGAGCTTCCCAAATTGCAAAAGTTTGAAGGTGGAAAAATGATTATGAGGGTCCCTTCCTGTAATTGCCTTACATTGCAGGCAAGTACAGAAGGGCAGGGCCTGGCCAAGGTCATGGAGGACTTGACAGGAGGATTCCTCCTGGAAGAGAGGACTTGTGGCTTGGGAACTGTCCTGCTCCCCACTGCCAGCCTCCAGACATGGAGTGCCCCCAGGGAAGAAGCTCTGCCAGCAGCAAGGCATTCTCCAGCGCTCAACATGGAAGCATAGACACCACTTCAGGTTGGGTCCCTGGGAATTCTTCCCCGACAATAGACAAGGAGAGGGCTGGGCACTGTTCCCCCTCAACCCCACCCAACTTTGGCCTGGTCCACCACTATGCTCCCAGCCCCTCACCCACTGGTGTCAAAGGTGGCTCCTTGGATCCAGCTGCCAGGAGAGAGGGCTCCTTCTCCAGAGAGATCTGGTCTGGCTGGGCTGGGCGGGGAAGGGCAAGGTGGACACTTGAGCAGGTAGGCGGTCCTACCACACTTGCTCAGGAGTGAAAAGCACCACTGGGCCCAAAGCAGCACGCCTGGCCCCGCCTAGCCCCCCAAGTTACTCATTGACTTTGAGAAGCTGGGAGGTGCTCAGCATCCGTGACTGCCAGCCGCAGGAAGTGGACAGATCATTGGCCTGGCATTGTTCCAACACAGACCAGTAGGCACAGAAATCTGGACTTTTCCTGTGGATCCAAATTCAGTCCCACTTTCTCCCCACGCATCTGTAGGTGCACCTTTGCACACTCTGTTCCTTTTCCTTGGATTGCCCTTCTCAGCGCCTCATTGGTGTGGTGAGTACCTACTCATATTTCAGCATCCAGCTCAAACAATTCCTTCTCCAGGAAAGTGCCCTGTACTCATAGCCTGGCTCAGAAGTAGGTCTCCTCTGGAAATGCGCCCCCCCATGCTCCGTGCTGCCTCTATTACTGTCACAGGACACCAGCTGTTCTCCGGTACATTAGACTGGGAGCCCTTCCAGAAGAGGACTTGAGGACTCAGCCATGACTTGGCCCTCACCCTGCCCTGGCAGCTCCTGACTGGCTTGGGGCTCAGACAAGGACTGGAGTTTGCATCAGATGTAGGGTGGATGAGCAATGCATGACATGAGGTGGGTTTTAGGGGCTCTAGACCACCTGTGGGACCAAGGGTAGGGAGAGAAGCCTGCGCACTCTCCTGAGGCTCCCCAAGTCTTCATGCTGGCCCGTAGTCACTAACAGGACTGGGGCAATGGACTGTCTCGTGCCTCTGAGAAGGAATGAGAAGACTGAGCCAGTTCAGGTCACCTTGAGGGAGTGCAGGGCTGGCAGGGGCTCTTCCACCTGGGAGGCTGCCAAGCAGACTCAGGAGAAATTTCTAGGGCTTGGGAGTCTGAAAGTCCTGTGTTGAGCTTCCTGTGGACTCTCCTGAGGTCTCTACACTGCTTATTTGATTATTCCCTCTCGGGCTGGAAGCTGAGCTAGGGCCTCTCAAGCTACCCCCAGCCGTGTCACAAGATGAATGCCTGACACAGAGTCACTCAGTTACTCAGCCTGGATCAACGCAGTGTGAAATTTGTGCCAGAAAGCGATCTCATGTGAGCTCCACTATGCACCCTGACACTGCTATGAGCACATACCTTCGTTACTGTACCTCCTCTGTTCTGAAAGGGCACTGTCCCTGTGTCAACGCTGGGGCACAGAGATGCTAAGTAGTTTGCCCAGGATCTCACAGCCAATAAGTAAGAGAGCCAGGAAAGCCTTGGTTTCTCTTCTGGCCTGGGGGCCCTCACCTGCTATGAGAAAACCATGCCCTGCACACACCTCAAAGTATTTTGGTGGCTGTAGGGAGAGCAGCAGCAGCTTTGAGAATTGAACACTGCTTTGGACACATAGGTGAGTCTTAGAGGTTCCTGCTTCTCTCACACACACAAAGAAGCAGCCCACAAACCACTTTTTTTTTTTTTTTTTTTTTTGG